GAACTACTGTAATGATGTAAAGTAATTAGCCTCCAACTAATAAAAAAAAAAAAAAAAAAAAAAAAAAGAATTGTCAGTAAAAGCAAAAATTGAGGTAATATTCCTGTTTACCCAAATCTGTGACACTGTTTCACCTCTCTGCATTTTTCACCTTCAGGTCACAAAGGCAAAAAATGCTTTTCACCTCCTCAGAACTCATCGTTCCTTGACTGTGCCTTTTTTTTCTTCTTCTTCATTTAGAGATATCTTCTATTAACTGTCAGAATTCCATGTGGTGTGCAAGTATTAAATGCACTTGAGATTAGGTAACATAGAATGCTCCTAGAACCCACAACATTTTCATTGCTGCTGCTTTTCTTCTTCAGGCCTCTCCTTAAAACTATTATAAAAATCAGTGTCCCCTAGTCCCACAGGAAACTTCTGTACATGATCTGATATTTCAGAAAGAGTATGTATTTCTGCCAAGTGTTCCTACTGTGGAATAGGAATCTGAGCTCTTCATCTCCCATGTTCCTGCAGGAGCAGCAGATGTTCTCCATGGGGCCTATCAGAATGCAATGCACATCACAGGCAATCCACCCAAAGAACTGTAATGACGGGGAAAAAACCTTTATTGTTTATATAGCCGAATGAATACAACACATTAAATTCATGTTCTCAAGATGCGTGCATGCGTGTGTGCTCACTTCAGCCATGTCTGACTCTTTGTGACCCTGTGCACTGTAGCCCACGAGGATTCTCTGTCCATGGGATTCTCTGGACAAGAATACTGGAGTGGGTTGCTCTTTAGAATAAGGCAGGGCTTCCTTCCTAGGCTTCTGGCTTTGGAACAGGGCCCAACATAGATGCCTGGGCATCATAGGGTTGCTCTGATTTCTAAGTCTCTCCTAAGACCCGGGTGGATGGTGGATGGAGAAGGTGCATCTGGGGTAACTGTCCCACAGTCTCCTTGCCATGAATATGTGAGTGATCTGGTGCTACTACAAGAGAAGACAGTGGAAGTCTGAAAGCTTAGCTTCCATTCCTCCTCTCCACAAAGCTTCTTTTGGCCATATTGGACCACATGGATCCCTTCTGTCCCAATCTCCAAACCTGTATTATTATTGTAACATTTGCTCAAACATGGCACTATGTTCTATCTTAAACTGTTCTGTAAATGGTGTGTGAGCCTTTTCTACCAAAGGCTGAAGTGTGACCTCTCTTTAGGGTGCCTACCATTCTACTGGGTTGGCCAAAAAGCTTGTTTGGGTTTTTCTAAAACATCTGATGAAAAAACCCCAATGAACTTTTTTTGCCAACCAAACAGAAAAGTTTCTTAGAGTACCTCAAAGTCTTTAACTTGTTCTGGGTTGAATTGAGTCCTCCAAAGCTTAAGTCTTCCTTCAAAGTTGAAGTCTTAACCATTGGTACCTGCGGATGTGAGTTTATTTGGAAATATTTCTTTGCAGATGTAATTATGATGTAAATCAAGATGCAGGCACACTGGAATACAGTGGGCTCTTAATCAACATGACTGTGTCCTTTCGAGAGAGAAGAGACAGACACACATGGTAAAGAGAAAGCCATGTGATGACACAGACACACAGAGGAAGATGGCCATGTGATGATGGAGTCAGAGACTGGAGTTATGCAGCTACAAGCCAGGGAAAGCTGATGACCACCAGAAGCTAAGACAAGAGAGCATGATCCTACCAAGAATCTTGGTTGTTTAACTCCTTGCCTCCACAACTGTGAGAATAAATTTCTGTTGTTTTAAGCTTCTGATAAGTTGCAAGAGCCCTAGGAAAGTAATGCACCTCCTCCCCCATAACAATGATGGATATAACAATTTATGAAGCACTAACCACATACTAGGCAATGTGCTTGATATATACTATTTCATTTGATCCTCACAGAAATTTACTTACAGCTACGTCTATTTTTCTCCTTTTAAAACTGAAGTTCCAGAAAGGCTTACTAACTGGCCCAGCATCACACAGCTGGAAAGTAGATGGTGATGCTGGAATCCGAATGTTGCCTTAGTGCCTCTAGAGCTTTGCCTCCAAGAGAACGGATCTCTTGTGCTGGTGATGGGGGAGGAGGGGCCCACATGGACAGATCTTCCCTCACCAGAACATCTCCATTTGTTTAACCCAGGGCTCCCACTTGTCAGGTCCACACCTCCAGGAATAAAAGAGGCCCAACCAAGCCTGATGTCCTTGCCTGATCTTGGGAACCATTGGGTCACAAGCCCTGCTTGGCAATGGTCCTCAG